ACGAAAAGTGTGAGCAACGAATCCGCTTTCTTCGTTCAAAAAATCACACCCACACCGAGCTTTCCTCCGTAATTGCACGAGAGCGGAACATCAGTCTGTTTAATTGCTATTTCTGCTAGACCAAGAAAGTCACCCTTTTCTTATATTCAACTGTAAGGGCTTTGCTCTACTACGAAAAAACATTCAGTGCTCATCGATCGGAGTATCATATTTCAAAGTATCGTCTACGATATTTATATCATACATAACGGCGTAACTCGTCATTGTATTAAGTTGTTGGAAATATAAATTTTATAATCCTGTTAATCGCAGTGTTATATCACATCAATCATCCCTACTATCCCACAAGAAATAATGGGATCAATCTGTTCATGGTGTCGATTCTTATAATCATAGCGGGAATTTACGACTCCCGTTGACGCGCTTCCTCGCGATAGATCGAAAATACAATAACAACTCGGCAAACAATGATTAACCAACTTGCAACTCGCTCTTAACTCTCTCTCGACTCAACTCTCTCGACTCAACTGACGACTCGCAACTAGGCTCTCAATTAACAACTGATGATTTATTGTCTTGCATACCCCCACTACGTACATGTTCCGTAACCGTCCGCGATCATGGTCACGTACGCCTTCCTTCGAGTAACTATTTGACTGAAGGAACTAGGATACATTGATGGACCGTTTCGCCAATTGAAGTTACCCTTTTGGCCTGTTGGCACTTAGACTTTCTCGCAATATTATTTATATTTCGTCGGATGTTTCTTAGACAATCTTTCCACGGTATTACAATATTTATCGAGTACTATCAGGAAACACAAAAACGGTTACAGAAGAGTGGTGTCCAGATATGAAGTTTAACCACCGGTTGCCTACGCATCCAATATCATGTACCATGCAATTTGAATCCGTGGAATATGGAAGCAAAATATAAAATCTTCCATGGGCCAACTCGTTTTGTGACATTTGTAGACATAAACCATATTACGTGACATTTTGTAAGAAAAATCGTAAATTAAACATTATACCTAGCTATTCATTAAAATCCATAGCAGCACATCGAAGACTGCCTCATGCAGTATTTTAATGCTTCCTTTAATTCTTCCTTTAATCCCCTGTATCCATAAATAATTAATAAGGTTCAAAAGATCTGAAAATGGCAAGGACCCAAAAAATCTACGGCAGAATAACTTAAACCTATACTAAATCTGCAATTAACTCCAACTTTATTGTAGATTTTTACAGTTTATATAGTTCTCTAACATTTTGCCTTGGATATCGAATGATTCTGTCCTTCCAGAACTATTCTACTCTCTTATCGAATTTCGAAAGTCGTTAAAACATGTTACGCAATATAGTAATAGTGGAGAGTTCATTCGCAAAGAAAAACTTACGATATTCTCCACCAATGTTTTCCCTTTTTTTATATAAGTTTCTCGAAATTACCCAGAAATTGTCATGATCCCCGAGGTGTTTCTTCTAAAGCATAAAGAAGTATGCCTATTGAGAAAACTTTCAGAGAAGACATTCAGTAGCACGATTGTGATGCGTGCGTGAAATTTGTATAAACATTGTTTATATGTACTTTTGTTTATTAATTATTCATTGAGGTAAAGGATTAGAGAACACATTAGTCTTCTGTACTCAAAAATTCCTTGTATTGCCATGACAAAACTTTAAGAATATTGAAATATTGTTCGGAAAGGCACCAGTGGTCGATCGATACGGAATTTGAGGAGTGTAGTGAAGAGGGAGGTAGTCAAACATGTAATAGGAATTTTGAAATTGATGCGCACGGCTACATTTTTGTTTAGTTGGAGCCATGTGGGTACTGATGGCCTAAAGAGTAGTTGTGTAGTTTCACACTTGATGGCATTAATTTTAAGCTACCAGTATGAAAGAAATACGTACATTTTATTAAGTAGGTCTTGCAAATGTTTTTTGATTATTGATAGTTTTTTCATAGACTAGTTTTTTTTCATAGACTAGTGTATACTATTAAGTCTTTGACAAAAGCAATTACAGAGTTATTGACCTTATCAGGAAAGTACAATTTTAAATAAGTACAATGTTAAATAAGTACAATTTATCACTGAAATAAAGAGAAAATAGAATTGGTGAACGTCCCTGATAGTAATCTGCTGGGGATTTTAAACTCAACGTTAGCATAAATCGGAAATAAATTTGTTAATTTCATGCGTTGTACTTATTTTATTCGGAAAATCAAATTTTGAATAAGGCGGAAAAAATTGAAATAACAAAAAACAGATACATGCTTGTTATATTGCAGTTTCAAATTTCTCCAATACCTTATCTTAAATATCTCCAATGTCTTACTTATATTTGGTAAAAGTGAAAGAGGTATATACCTAGTGAGGTTGGAACCACTTTTATCTTTCTTTAAGAGTGGTATAATTTCAGTTTTTATCTAAATATTGTATTGGGAAAATAAACAAAATCTAAATAATTCTTGAATATAACGACATAATCCCTTCTATATGCCTGAGACATATATATGAGCGCTATATTAGGGATCTTGTTATACCTACATACTCTCTCTGGTTTATGTTTACTAAAAATTAATCTGAGCTCATCATAAGTGACGAAATGTTTATCAACCGAGGGAATCTAGAACCGGGTCGCAGATAGGATAGACTTTAATAAGTATACTTAAGGTTGTCTTTTGAGATCAGTCTGCAAACGTCTCAGTTTTAAATTGTAATATTCTACTTCAGACAAAACCTCCAAATTTCTTGCTACCTAGATTTGCATTTCACTCATAGATCGTCTTAAATTTAACATCTATACTTTGTAAATCAATATTTACTTTATTAACTAAATTGGAATTGTCATGTGCAGCTAATAAAACAAAACAGAAATATTTGCTTTAGGACGAAGTATTGAATGTATCTGAGGGAACATTTTTCCAGAATTATTAATATTAATAATTGAAATTCTATTGTACCAATAAAAATTTATGAAGTTTTGAAATTCTTCTTTTATATGTCTTTTAAAGGAATTTAGGCCTTGCTACGGACTGCATGCAATCTTGCAAAATATACTGTATCTTGGTGAAAATGATCTTTACAGGAATGCTTCTGCGTTACAAAGAAGCTTTTAAACTGCTTTAATTTTTTAGTTTTAGGTGTTACATACTGTAAAAGGAATTGATATTATTCACTTTGTGGTTGATGCTTCGTAAGTGTTACTTACATTCTCGTTCCCTTCGACCAAATAGAAGCGCGTGCTTACGCTGGGACGGGGAGGATACGTTCAAGTAAGAGCGCCGTGAAGGTTCTAGTCAGTACAGATTCGGCACTACGCGTTAGGATTACGAAGTGTCTGTTAAAATTTTCTTCACATTGAAAAAAAAGGTTGAGATAGGTTTTCTATACGGTCATGACTATATTACATAGGATAACTCAATAAAAACTATTATCTAACATAGTTTGTTATCTATTAATTGTATCAAAAAACGTTCGAAATGAATTATGTTGCATTTGAATGATTTCTTTGTATCTTATATTTTTGAAATATCAGGGTCACGTATCTTTCTTTTAACGTTACGTCCTAGCCAATAAAATACGATTTCAATTATCTGTAATAGGGTGTCCTTGGCGCCATTGAACCGTACGACGAGACAAGATATCCAATCTAATTGTATCACTTTGTTTTATTGTGTTTGTTCGAAGTTTTCGTCGTTCATTCCTTCGCGTTTCTTCAAACGTTGTCAGAATAATTGGTGAACTATTCTGAGTGAGCCCCATTATCTCGCACATTTCTTCTAATTCGTTGTGTCATATGCATTCTATAGCAATCTGTACATCGTGATAAACGAAACAAATACGTAAGCTTATTGATGAATGTATCATATCTGTTTTTGGAAGAGCTTTCGTACGATGTTCGCAAAATTTACATTGTACTTATATTTATATTGTACTAACAAGACTAGTACGCTACACATTACACTTTAATTTCGAGGAAAATTACCCAACAACTATTTTCAAATGGATGGATTTGTCCAAACGGATTCACTTTCGTCGAGTCTAAATCCACAATTCTTCTTGCGGAAGGCATTAAAACCCGCTATTTATCACAAAGTACCAATTGGTGCAGAAGATATACGATGGCGTATTGAAAGAGCGTGCGAGAAAATGAAACCGGTCTATTACACTCAGTATTTTGTGTAATTTTGAGATTCAAGGAAAAATCAAGACCACCTTACTTTAAAACTTGAATTCATCATCTCATCGGTTACAACAGGGGCGCAGAACTTCTCCGTCGAACACCGCACGACTAATCCTCTCAGCTATCCGATTACCAGACCATTGAGAATGCGAGCGACGAGAGCGAAGAAGGCAGTCCAGGGGCTACCGGGAATAGTGTAAATAAGAGAGTATGGTGGAGCTCCCTTTCCTGCGGTCTACGACAAACAAAAGACTTACTCGAGGCCCGCGAATTACGATATCGTGTTAGGAAACAAACACATTAACCTTGAAAAATCCAAGGTTACCTTGATATCACAGAAAATATAAGATGTAAAAGAATCAGATTGTATCCATCCGACAGACCACTTCAAATGCAACTTAATTCATTTAAAATACTTTTTATTATTATTATTTTATTTATTATTACAATTCTAGCTATATTAGATGATAGTTTCTTTTTACTGACTGTGTATGTTTCCACGGCGATGCATTTATACGTCTCACGTTTTATTTTGTATACAGAGAAAGAAAAGAAATGAATACTTCAGTAAATGACCAACTTTCCTTCTTTCATATTCTTTGGTTTGATTTTAGGTTTGGATCCTTTGAGTTAGTTAATACACGAAGGAAAACAATAAACAACCTAACCGGATAACTCACACCGAATTAAAAAGCCTACAAAACATTTTTACAAGCACTTTGAAAACTACAGCCTTGACAATACTTTAGAAAATACTTGAAATTGGTGATGTGCGCCCTGATCGATATAATTACCAAATGTTGCCTTTACCTCCTTAAAGATAATTGCTTTTTAATGCAAACAATTAGCGTATTGATACTTGTACTTTTTTCTAATTCCACAGTCAAACATTCGAATCTTGCGGCTGTGAACCAAAGCAATAGCGCTCCAAATATGCTCACGCAACTGTGTGCAGCGCATTGGTAGCTAAGAATAGATTGATGCGCATATATAATAATATTCATTGGCGTATAATTAACGCGAAACGGATATTCCGCATCGGCTGGAAAAGAAATTGGCAAGATTGCAGGTCCCAATGAAAAACCAGTCGCAGTCGCGTACATACATACTATGGTACATATGCACAACATGTCGCATCTTGTGATATATTTATAGAAAATTTCCTTTTCATACTGTTGCGTTTCTTTAACATAAGTCATCATTTCTCTAACTGTACGCTGTAATTCGTAGTTAAAACACATATCTGTTTACGTCGAATACCAAAGGTAAGCAAATAGAAACTTACTTGTAGAGAGTCTTGCTTAATCCAACACATAGTAGTCTGAACGATAAGTTGACACAAAGCTGTTGACATGCACATACATTTGAAAACAACGACCAGGTCGTCAGGGTGCAAATAAATCGAATATAACATAGGCAGTAGTAACATGCAAGCACTAATAATTGCACTTATTTGTAGAATTCTGAAACCAAGGACTCGAGTTCTGCTGCTACTAATAGGAAGCGGCCAACAGAAAGATAAAGCAGCACTAAGCCAAACAATGTGGATAACTTTCTCCGGTGTCACTTGTCTCAACATAATTACAACAAAGTACTTGCTTTGCGATTCGAACGAAATGGAATTAAAGTGGTAGATAGAACGATAGGAACGATATAACAATATGTGCAAGTTGTTGGGACTTGAAACCCCGTTACATTGCTTTAAATGCATCTGAATAATCACAGATGTTACCCGTATAAAATTCTGTTGCATGCATGAGAAATTTAATAAATTATACCCGGCGTAACATTCAAAAGCGAGATATCGATTAGTGGTTTTCTTTGAATAGTATTTCTGACGTTAACAGCTGTGTTGATAATGATACATTGGCGGTGCATATGTTATTAGACAGGTGCAAAGGGAGACTATCATGCAACAATGCTAGAGTTCATGAGCACCGTATCTTAGGAAAAGAATATACATATGTATGTATATATTCAATTAAACATTCAGTAAGACAAGAGCGTGCTCGCAATGTTTACGAAAGACAATGGTCAGAAAGAGAACGTGATAGCTTAAACGTACGGTATCGCTTTATCGATAAGCATCTTTTAACGTCTGCTAGTCTAGTCTATATCGCTACAAAATACAAATGCATTGTCCCTTAAAAGAGTTTTAAATGCCTATTGCAATCATAATTCAAGGTTAGCAGTTACATCTATCAGTGAAAAAATTATTTGACAGTTTTTTTTTATAAAGAACTTGTCGTTGCCAGTGAGCAGCGAGGAGGAGAAAAACTTACTTTCGAGAAAACATATCAAAAATTGTCTGACTAAGCTACCAATTCTGATCAGAAAACCATTGTATAATACGAAATATAGTGAATTCTCCACATGACGTGGGGGATACGTTCCATGTCATAGGAAACAGCACTGTACGATCGACATGTGTTATACGGATTATATGTTATCACGCGAATCGGAGAATCGGCTGGAAATGATTCCACATACAGCAGTGTGTCGAAAAGAAAGAGTAAAATTTTTTCACCCGACGCTTCATTTTCGAAAAAATCAGATTCACAAATTTACGCGGTACACGTGCACTCAACTGTATGCCGACTTTATGCCGCATCTCGCTCTACATTCTTGTTTCGCTTTGTACTTGTAACTGTAAATAACCTAGATTGGCGATTTACTGTCGGTACTGTCGAAGAGTACGAGGTAAGGATGCACATTGCGCACAGAAGGCAAAATCTTTGTTTTGCAATATTTTTATACTTGTGCTCTTATATTGTATGTAGTCATCAATTGTTGAAAATATTGTCTTGCCGTTGCATGCAAAGTTGATCTCTTCTGATTAAATTATTATGAACTCTTCCTAACCTATTCTGTTTTCTCAAGGAGCCAGATGCAAAAAATTCTTAAAGACTCTTTACTTCGAAATGATTGATGGTTACATTAGATACGTATGTTTTATAGGAAGAGGGCTAAATAGTTTAAAAAAAAACGAATCACGTTTGTCTGCTAAAGTGTTTTATGTGTTGAAGGCGACCGAAGTCCCAAATCCGAACCTCTTGAAGCTTTCTCGCCGATTAATTAAACCGATCATCGACGGTTCGATGTCGGGGAAATATTTAGATTATCGGCGCTCGATCCGCCGCGAACACTAATGCCTGAAATTTCCGCATCTTACAGCTTATAGTTTGTATAGATTTGTATAGATATTGATGGTAAAACTTTAGATGTTCATGTATCTCCTTTTCACATTATTTCAAGCATTTGATCCATTTTCATCTGTGCCTTTAACTCTAGACTAACAATGAAACATCTCCAAATGTAAATTACAGAAGATATGTATCCATTGTTATTTTGAAGATATAATATATATATATTATATCTTCAAAATAATTGAAGATATAATATATATATAATATTATATAATAATATATAATATATATATAATATATATTATATAATATATATATAATATTATATATATATTATATA